GCAACTAAACCCTCAGATATTTTCGCCTTTACCACGGAGAGATCCTTGGAAACCCCGCGCGCGCGCCGGCCGACGGCATGAGGCAGCTACGCCGGGCAACCTAGGCTCACTTCGACGGAAGTAAGGAGCCGACCATCATCTACAGCTAAATGCGCAAGGATGGGTGGTGGTTAGGGACTCGGAGGCGCACTGTCATGGGCTACAGCGGCGAGTGGCTATCCGCGGCGGCGGTGCGACTATTCTGGCGGCCTAAGATTCTATCGGGGTGGTAGAGATAGCGGATAAGCATGAGTAGCTCACCAGAATTCACGCTGCAGTGGCGGTTGAGGCGGAGGAGTGTCGAGGTTGCCTAGCCACGTGCGTGCAGTGATATTGGTGGCGCTCCAAGGTTGACATCGACACGTCAGGTCCTCACTCATGTCGTTCCTAGTCAAACAAAGATGAGCAACAGCACGAGGGGACCAAGGTGAGCTCATAGGAACAACTAGTTGAACCCCTACCGAGGGGTAGGGCCTTACCCTCAAGTCATGCTCTGTTTCGGAGGCGTGATGACCGGCGGCCATAGAAACACCAATTTCGTCCGCGCCGAGGCGTGGCAAAGCCTCGATAGGGGTCGCCTGGCTAGTCGACTCCCTAGGCCACTTGCAGGTGCAAGGAATTGAACTGCGAAGCTCCGAGCTAAGCGAATCGAGAGGTAGAGCACGCAGTGCACCCACTGTGGTCATGTCATGGAGAAAAACATGCGGATGAGCTCAAGCGGTAGGGCGTGTTAAAGCGGGGCTCCGGTCGACAGTGGCAGAGCGAGCTCGTGCACACATGTGACGCGACCAGGTGGCTTGGCGCGACGCACTTGAATTGGAGCGGCCAGACCCGAGCGGGTTTCACTGGCGTCGGCTAGCGAGGACAAGTAAGGCAGGGCGAACAGAGAGGCGTCGCCGTCATCCTGTGACTAGGGTCGGTTGACCCAGATACGGCGAACGGCGCCACGGGCTCGCGGTAGGTGACACGCAGGGCAGGGCGACTGCCACATCGACACGATGACAATGGCAATGACCTTGGCTCGACCCCACGCGCGGCTCAGCGGACACGGTGGTGCACGCATGCAGCGATAGCGGGGGCACACAGCAACCGTATTGCGACGACACCTCGCCACGCGACCGCACAGTGGCTGCACCGGTGTAGCGCTCGTGTGCACGCGAGGCTAGGGCACAGCTCGACCGGATCGACGCGCAACACGTGCAGCGACGAGACCGCCACCGCAAGGTCACGCGCGGTGCACGCGTGCAACGGCGTGAGCACCCACGCGCGATGCCGCACACCCAACACGGTGACCGCGCACGGTCAGAACGGCTGCCCTAGGTGTCATGCACGCATTTTAAAGCACGTCTAAAAACTAACCTAACACAGTTGAAGCTAAACTACCTCAACCATACTAACGAGGGTACATCAGTCTACCATAAGGAGCAAAAACACAGCATTGACCTTTAGCTAGATTTTCTAGAATTAATTAACCAACATGGTATTGTCACACTGTTTTCAAACTTAAAATTTCTTCCTAAGTCTTGAGCTGAATTTGACTTCAAGTTTTATTTCCAAGCCATTAGAAATACTAACTAGTCATATTATTTTTCTACGGTAAGAGTTGCATTGTCATCTACAAAGTTTGTACTTTAAACTTTATTTAAGTATCACACATATGTTCTATAGTATTTTTGCTTAATAAAAATTAATTTTTAACCCTACTTGATATACATGAGCTATTGAATCAAGATTGATTTAACATTTTTATTGATTATTTTAGGCTATAAGAAATTTATCAACACCTTCTATCACATGCATTATTACATAAACATGATGTTCATGACATGATTTAGTAGTTTGTTTAGGGCGTAACACCGAGGGTGTTACAAAAAGTAGATCTGTATGTTGCATATGTTGCAATGGCTATACACATATGTTTCAAGTGTCTATTCAAAATGTTTTCTCTATTTCAGACGTATTTTGCAAGTGTTTTATCTTAATGTTGTATATGTTGCAGTGGCTATACACATATGTTGTAAGCGTATGTTCTAAATGTTTCATCTATTTCAGACGTATGTTACAATAAGTAGTTCATGTTTCTCGCATATACTCTTCGATGGAACGATCGGAGTCATGTGGCGCGCATCTGCAGGCGGGGCGAGTGGATTCCCGCGTGTGTCATACGGAGCGGGCATGGGTAGTCCCCCATGTGTATGTGCACAGGAAACAGAGCGGCGCTGGCGGTCCCTGCATGTGCGAGCGAAATAGAACATGGGCCATGTTCCCGCGTACGAGCAGCATGCGTGAAACGGAGCAGGCGGGAACGTCCGTCCCAACATCCATGCGCTAGTATCTCCGTATCTAAAAGCCTATAGAGATCATATATACCTATACGAAAACGAGAAAGATATCTATATAAAGCTAATGAAATTTTGAAAAACATGGGATGATACTAGCATGAACGCATTCAACATTAATATATGTTACATTCATGGTGCATGAATCTCATATTTTGTTATGTAAAATTCTTAAAAACATGTTTAAACGTTGGTTAATATGTTTTAGGTATTTTTTATTTTCTCTAGATATTTTTTTTCTAGAGATAAATCTAATTTTAGAAGCTTCTAGATAAATATTCAGAAGCACTAAATATTTTATTTAGATTTATCATGTCCTATTACATCTCTAGAATTGTTTTTGGAATTTTTAAAAGCTTAAAGGCACTTTTGTTGTTTAAAAACCTTATCACGTGTTTACTAGAAGTTTCTTTATAAAAAAAATGATAAAACCGCTTCAAAACCACTTCTAAATTAGGTTTACAATTTTTTGTCTTATAGTCCGAAAAGAAAACCTAGACTATGACTACATCAGATCAAAATAAGACTTTACTGAATGGACATGTTTGGACACTGCTCGCCCTCAGCTCGTCAAGAAGATGGTGGTGGCGCACTAGCTGACCCTAGCTGAGAGATGCTAGACGGTCAGGTAGATACAATGGGCATGTTCGCTGGTTGGGACTGGTGCTGGTTTGAGCTGGCTGGTGCTGATTTTTTGTGAAAGAAAAATACTGTTGGCTGGTTGGTTTGAGTTGGCTGAAACCAACAAACGAACAGGCTGAATAGCTGGTCAGTCATGTTAGGGTGTGGGAAAAAAATACTCGATATCCTCTAACTCAAACTACTCGAATCCATACTCGAAGTAACCAAACATGAATGGTGTATTTAATTTGTAGAGTCCATGCTTCATTAGGTGATACATCGTGAGTTTATCCCATGAATTTTAATAGAACCAACCCATTTCTCGTACATATACTAATTATTAACTTATGAGGAATGAATTAACGGTGGATCAACTCGTTCCATTCTACGAACTAAATACGAAAAGCGAGGAGTGAGAAGATTTCCTCAAATAATCAAATCAAACACACACCCAAAGTAACGGATTACAATTCTGGATAGTAACCGTAGAAACCAAAATTTAGTTCTCGGAGTCCGGATAATATTTCTCGTTATCCGAACTACCCGTTTATCCAATCTACACTAGTCCCCACAAGACCTCGAGCACTCTTCTTCATCTTCACGGGCTCACGGCGCAACCCACCAAGCCGCTGCCTCCTCCAGAGTAAGGCCGAGAAGGCGGCGCAAGCAAAAGATGCCCGCCCTGTCATGTAAAAACGGTATATGCTGGAGAGTTGGAGCAAACCAATTACGCATAGATGCTGTGTACATTACGAAAATCGTAATAAAATATAAAAAATACAGAATTTGTGGATCAAACCAACTACGCCTAGATGCAAAGTTGCAGAATGTGTACATTACCAAAATCTTAATAGATGCAAAAGGCAGTAGAATGTGTACATTACTAAAAACACAATAAAATATAAAAAATAAACAATTTGTGGAGCAAACCAATTACGCCCAGATGCAATGCAAAGCGGCAGAATAACAAATAACAAATCATAAAATATATAAATACAAAACAAATAAAAACATAATTAAAAATTTAAGAATTTGCGCATCCGGGGAATCGAACCCCGGTCAGTACCGTGGGAGGGTACTATGATACCACTACACCAGATGCGCCTTCATGTCAATGGTGAAGATCTCCGTCTTCTACTATTTTGTGGCATGAGCCCTTTTACTTATTGACCTAGCATTCCATAGCACAGAACCTTGGTTTGGCATACTATACCAGGCTTTAGGCTAGCGAACTTGTTACTATCTCCAACTTTGAACAGCAAAGGCAAGCCTACGATAATCAACATTCAGGCTTCAGCTAGGTTCCCTGAATACAAATCTCTACATATGAATCCGGCAATCAAAAGCGGGCTAATAAATAGTGCCACGTCACTCGTTAGCCTGATAACCGTTGGATCAGACGAACACAAGATCTGGTCCGTCTGATATGGACCGGTTTGAGTCTTCTATCCGTTTTATCATTTACCCAAGCTGTCATGAAGCTTCGCGGGCCGACGCTCGCCCCTCCACCTCCCCCACCTCCTCGCTCTCCACTCCACCTCCCGCTTGCTGGGCCACCAGAGCGGGCTTGAATCGCGGTCCCGTATACAGCCATCAATGTAATACAACATATATAAGACAATTTGTACAAAAAGTATTAAGTACGACACTGTATGGCTACTATTTGAGTCCATTTCAATTTATTTTGCATAGTTACGTTTGAATGTTATAAATAAATATGAAGCTTAGGGTAGTTGTCGTGCTCTTGTTGGAGGAAACCAGCCCATGAATTTAAGTCATTTAATGTGCTATTGATGTTTAGGCACCTTCAGGAATGATTCTAATGACTTCAAAGCTAGCCTATAAGGCTTAAAAATTCCTGGTGCTCCTTGGTAATAGCCTGCAAGATAGGAGAAGAAGAAAATGAGTAAGAGCAGAGCTAACCTTAAATTGGATATCAACATATTCAACTTCCAGCTCCATTGCCAACAAAAGCGCTATTTCATTGAATAGCCCAAGGACATGGAGGTAAATATAGAAAACTATTGATTTAATACTTATGCAAAATTGGATTAGCACTGGCTATTAAATTAGAAGTAATGAAGAATCAAAGCAAATTAACTATATAACTATAATTTTGATTAGGATGTCTAAGCAAACTTCTGCTATTAACTAAGCACGCCTCTAGTAGATATTAAACTCTGAATCCAATGTAATGACGTTGTAGCCCTGAAGCTACAGCTTAGTTTATAAATCAAACCTGAACCATTTTTACCAACGAATACTCTTCAATGTATTTTTTTCGTGTTTTTAATCATTTAATCTAATGTTCTACAACCTCAAATTTTGAGTTCAATGAACCAAGAGCCACATGTTGAATATGAAGAATCATATTTGTTCATATGGTTATATCTTAAAAATCCAACTAAGTGAGGAACCATACAGATTTTTAACATTTAGTTTGCAGATCTTAAAATTTCACTACTAAGTAGAAAGTGGAGTAAGTTTGTAATCAAAACCTTTCTTTCTATTTTAATTGTTCTAAAATCCACATGAAAAAGAGCTAAGTGGGATTTGGTTAAAGATAGGGAGCGTGAGTTGCATCTACCTTTTTTTAGACAATAGAAAGTTCGAGCTTCTACCATTGGGGCATGGTACACAGCTCACCTTCACATTTGTGGAGCTCAAGACGGCCACCAAGAACTTCCCGCCGGACAGCGTCCTCGGCGAAGGTGGGTTTGGGAGAGTCTACAAAGGGTGGGTGGATGAGAAGACGATGGCCCCGACCCGGAACAACACTGGCATGACTGTTGTCGTCAAGAAGCTCAATTCCAAGAGCATGCAGGGTTATGAGCAATGGCAAGTAACCGAAATCTTGCCTTTTTTTTTCTTTTATATATTCTACTTATTGAATAACAACGACAATAATGCTCCGGGAACAATTGTTTTGCTTGTTAATAGGACAATTGTTTTGCTTGTACGGGTACCATGTACCATCATCAGAGCAAACAAAATCAAGTGAAAGCCTAATTGTCACGATCTTATACTAATGCTCATCAACCTGGCATCCTCTATTCCAAGATTATTATTGTCGTTGTTATTTAATAAGTAGAATATATAGAAGAAAAAAAGGGGCAAGATTTTGGTTACCTGTCATTCCTCGTACCCCTGCATGCTCTCCGAGTTGAGCTTCTTGACGGCTAACAGCTACGCCGGTGCCGTTCCTGGTCGGGGCCCTCGTCTTTATAGACTCTCTCCGACCCGCCTTCGCCGAGGACGCTGTCTGGCGGGAGTTCAGCAGAAAGGAAGCCTTTTCCCACCCTTTCAGAATAAAAACTGCCAATTTCTGATAACACAAAACAAAAGAGCCGTTTCAACTTTCAGCTGACAAATCCCGTCTCTTAAGTCTCTACTGCCATGATTGATACCAGGAGCAAAGAAATCTTAATTTAGGATCCTAAACAAAAGAGCATGTACCTTCACTTCAGCTAGGGGAACTACAGGATGAAACTTTTTTTTTTTGAGGGAATACAGGATGAAACTTTCAGGAACAAATTGAGCAGAAGCCAGGGGAACTACAGGATGAAACTTCCCGGCCTCAGGATCCATCATCCATCCATGAATTGGAAGGATCACATGAAAAAATACAAGAGAAAGAAGAAGTGGAAAACAAAACAAGACACGCCCTCACCTGGGTTAGATGGCCTGAAATCCTCGGCCACCCGGTCATTCCCGAAGCCATTGCAGATGTTCCTGATCTCGGGTATACAAGTTTGAGACGGGGAACATCTGTGGTAGCTCAAATTTATATCTGACTGACGAAGAGAGTGCAGTGCAGCTGACCCAGAAGAAACCGAGCGCTCGCCTCGCCGCTCGGCCCCGGCGAAGTCTCCGCCCCGTTTGAGGTGTTGGCAGCTGCACAGGTGCATGGGATGGATGGATACTACTCGTACTAGTGCTACTCCAGTAGGAGCGGGGCCGGGCTGGGTCGTCCTAGTCTCCTAGGTCATTTTGTTGTCACCCCGGGACGTAGCCATCATGTCACCCCCGCTCTGTCGAGTTTCCATTGGTCGCCCGTCAGATTTTGCTGGCCCGCTCATCTATGCAAAGCAAACTCAACAGTTGTGTGATTGGATACCTCCTAGCCGCCCTTGATGAATCAATCGGCAGTGGCCTTGATGAATCAGTTCGCTTAAACAAGACATAATGTATGTGCACATCAAGGGCGAGGACCTGGGAGGCTGGTTTCAAGCAGTGGCTTCTGGAGTGGGTTTGTTGGAGTGTAAATATCTCACAATTCCGTGCTTATTTGTTTCTGTTTTTGCTAATTTCTATCAAATGAGTAGGGCTTCCAAGAATGGGCTTTTTCGAAAAGCCAGGAGATTGATTTGTTTGTCCAGCACGAATTCAGTTCGAGTTATGGTTGAAATTACAGATTATCTGAGAATGACACTTCTATATGTTATTATTGGGTACTGATGAGAAAGGAGAATGACACTTCTATATGTTATTATTGGGTACTGATGAGAAAGCCTGAGAGCCTACCAAAACAACTGATAATACATCTTCTTTACACTTTTTGGCTCTTTTTTTACTTCAAAATCACTCGGTGAACAACTAATTTGTTGTGTATTATGTACAGGGTTTGAAAAGGTCGCAGCAACATAACCAGTCAGTGTTCTCATGTCAGGACGTCGATCATTTTGCAAGAAAATTATCAAGCAATAGCAACTGCCGTTTCAAGGCAGGGGTGATCAGCGATGAAATGCTTGCTAGTTCCTACCACTGCTATTACTACAAACTGGCAAGGCCACAGTGTAATACTGTGTATAGAGAGGTCTGAGTTGACAGGAGCAAAGGAGAGGTCTGTGTCTATCATAGACCACAGTGTAGTCTCTGATAAAAAATGTGTTGACAGCACCAAACAATCCGTCTTGGAGACGTCGGTTGCAGGGTCATCACCGGCCGGAGAATCAACCGTAGCACACCACCAATCATGACAGGATTGGCCTCCATGGCCGGCGGCTGCTAGTGCTGCCGATCGAGACGTGACTGGTTGGCCTGTGATCAAGGGCGGCTAGGAGGGATCCAATCACACAACCGTTGAGTTTGCTTTGGATAGATAGATGAGCGTTTCAGTGATTTCTGCGATAAGATCCAATCACACGATTGTTGCTGCTGCGGCCACGGATCACGTCTGGGAAGGCTCCTATAATTGCGGCGCTTCTCAAACCTACAAGGACAATGATCATTGCTATGCTGGGGGGATCAAGCTGAGGGACTCCGAGTCGATGGACCACGAGCCGAACGCCGGCACGTGTCGCCTCTACGCCTGCCTGCCGGTCGTGACTGGATTTGTTACGTTGGTCTCATTGGAGCGCCATGGAGGCCTTCTGCCTTTTGCGATTGAGCGCCACTGAATGCATTCATTTGTTACTTCAACACCGGTAGATGAAACTGATTAACCCTTTTGCTCTATTTTCACTGCTCATGAACTTTAGAAAGTGAAATGATAACAATATCATCTGCTGATCAAACAGAGTGAATTCATTTTTACAAGACTAGGTTACAGAGGGACTCTTGCTTTCTGGAGCACCATCACCTTGCATGAACCAGTTATCGCCCAATTAGCTTGACCATCCATGCACCACCCAAGTATAAACCAAGCAAAGGACCAGCCAAGAGCATTTGTGTCAATGGATCCGTCGAAGGTGTAAGCACAGCAGCAGCAACAACAGCACCAACAACAACATATCTCCAGATCGAAAGCATTTGGTCACTAGAAACCAATCCAAGTTGTCCCAGCAAAAGCTGGATAACAGGGACCTGGAACAGAAATACCATGAAAAATGTATAAAGTCAACATATGGTTCTCTATGAGATTCTTCAGTTATCACAGTTCACTTTATCTCTATACTTGTATAATAAAAAAATAAGATTTGTGGTCCTCTAATAACTAAAATAGGTGCCCACTAGCATCAAAAGCAGCATCCATATATGTTATTTGTTATTTGATAACACTAAATGGAATAGCAATGGATATTACACAAATGATATACTAAAACACACAAACTTTGAGTTCTGATACTCATCACAAACTAGCTTCAGTGCGGATCATGCATGATAGGATCCTTTTGGGTTGACCAACTTAACTGCATATTTAGTGCTATGAGTCGAGATTACCATAATGAAGTTAAAAAAAGTAGGCCAATGGAATGAAGCTGCAAAACTTAATCGGTTAACAACCGATTTAACCGATTTTGAAAGTTTTCACACTCAAGTTTGTGATGTTAGCTTTTGAGCTAACTGTTCGGCTTGCAGCCAATAATTGTATGATACCACATTTTCACTTTCCCTAATACTCCAATAAATATGTCGTACACACATACTCTTATTAAAGTGCACATTAGTTGTACTGACCAATTCTACAGCCACACTTTGGTGTGAAAGTTTTGGCAATGTGTGGCATTAATCTCGACAGCCTACGTTTTCAATGAGAAATTTCACCAATAAAAATAGTCAACTCTTTCTTCACTTAAAAACATATTCCAACCTAAATGTGGTACAAAAAAACTTATTGTATCAACATAAATGCAGATGATCTTAAATTCTTAACGCTAAACAATAAAGTTGGTTTCCGGAGAAGTATGTGTTAATGATCCGGTTACGTCATAAACAAAAAGAAAACACATTACTACAACCCGCGTTCGAAAAACACATTAGTACAACATATACAGGGAGACTTGTTTACCTGAAACGACAAACCTGTGCTAAACATCAGCACAAGTATGAATTCAAAGTACTGGTCAATAGACCACAACGATTCCACTGCCCCATCAGCATAATTCACAAAGAAGTTCAACGCAGCAGGGCTGAGAACCGTGTAGGAGAAGAAAATGCCTAGGTAGAATAGAACAGAAGAACCCAACACAATAGGCCCGAGAAATTTCCGCTCGTCCCTTGTTAAACCTGGGATAACAAATGCAATGATCTCATACAAAATGATAGGACTTCCAAGTAAAAGGCCACAATAACCTGAAACCTGCATGGGATTGAAGATAATGAGATAATTAACAGTTTAATTTTGTAATGACCACTACAAAATAAAGCTGACGTAGAGTATGGAAATTGCATGAGAATGGTAATATAGGCTTGTTGTGCAGAGCTCCACCTTCAATAAATATGTGGATTTCCTGGAGCTAGGTATTTCTAACCCTAGAAACTTTGTGGAGCTGGAGCTGGAGCTGGAGGTGGGGTACACCTGAGTTGTTTGGTTGAACTGTTTTCTTTCTATTCTAGACAAAAGTTACGGTCCCAAGATTCATGATTTTAGCATATGAAGTCAAGATCTCAGGTGAATCTCGGATCTCGGAGCTAAAGCTCTGCCAAACAGGGCCTATGAAACAACATTCACTTTGAATTTGCCTCCTGTAGACTAGCAACACTGACGAAGTTTAGCGGTATTGAGAGCTGTTCATGGGCCAGTGTATGGAGCAGTTGTCGATAGTTATCCACCTTATCATGGATGAAATCATTAAATCATAGAACAATGAACAGCTATACTACAAACCTGCTATCAAAGAGAGACTATGTAACATAACTTTAAACACTAGTTACTCAAGTATGAATGTCTGGTCAGCAAAGCCCTGGTGGCCAAGTAGGCAGTAGGTATTTTGGATGATGAAGCCAACTGGTTTCCACAAGGAGATCGTTTAAGAGAAACTTTATTAGCAAAAGGATTTGTAATTAGATTGGATTCTATTTGTAAAGAACCAATCTACTAACAGCTGAAGCATATACAACATGACTAACTGACTGAAAAATTATATTCCACCAATGAGCCCAGTATCCTTTCATGAATTTAATCTAACATCCCTTTCCCCTCCACACTAACCTTGCTTCACCTCACTAAATAGTGAGAGATTTCCCTGCACTAGCTAAGCCAATATGTGCAATGGTCTTCAAATTTTATGTATGCAGACATGTTGCAAGTGGTAGAGTCTTACCGCCTGTGACCGGAAGGTCCCGGGTTCGAGTCGCAGTCTCCTCGCATTGCACAGGCGAGGGTAAGGCTTGCCACTGACACCCTTCCCCAGACCCCGCACAGAGCGGGAGCTCTCTGCACTGGGTACGCCCTTTTTTAGACATGTTCATTAGGTACTTGCAATTTTGAATTCTAATTTAGTAAGGTGAAAAAAGGCACCTAGGTATATGGACTTTGCAGTTAAGCTTTCCAACCATGTGTGAGAAGATTTTCATCTGTATGGTCTTTGGGACTACCAGCGGATGTGGTTTGCACAAATATGATAAAAAGTCACACAACCTGACTCAGATACATGCACTCCCTGCGCACCATGTGGGACCACAATCAACTCCAGATTGGATCACACATTGCTAGAATCATGAAATAAGAAAGAGCCTGTTCCAGTGCATTGCACGTTGCTATAACAATCAGAATGTAGAAATGGATTCTGTGGATGATTTCCTCAAGACAAGATACAAACCATGCAATCAAACATTACATAGGAAAAAAATGCTATTTGGATATAGGATTGACATGCATTATTCTGAATTCAAAAGAGAACGGGACGGAGAGTAGTAGAAACGATGAGAATATTGTTAAGACAAATTTTAAATGCTAGAATGTTCACTCAGATTTCTGGAGTCTCACCTTTAATGTTGTAAAGAAAAATTCCCCAGGCGAGAGCTGCAAAAACCGAACACCCTGAACAGTCACTGGGGCCTCTAGGAAAAGAACCAAATCTTTTGAAAAAGCAAAACAGCCTAGCATCGCAGCCCCAACAGCCAAAACTGAGATGAAAATCCTCTCACGAAGCTCCTCTAGATGATCAAATATACTCATCTCTTTATCATCTGGAAGTAAGTCTTTGCTTGGATAAAGAAAATTATACAGAGCACTCTGTTCTTCTTCTGAGGGGCCTCCGAAGGAACCATTTTCCACTGCAAAAGGTAAGTTTGAGTTGTAAATTAGTCAATCAATATTCTGGATGCAGCTATGTCACATACTCCAGAAATAGAACTCTAGCAAGGTATAATCAAATAAACAAAAGATAATTCATCATGTAACATGAAAAAAAAAATAGCTCAGGCCAGTACAACTAAAAATGGTGTAGTATGAGATACAATTTACTATAGTAATTGCCTTTAAATTCTTTACTTTCTTTATTTAACTCAAGCTGTAGTACACCAATGAGCCAGAACAGCGCCTTAATGTTGAACAAGATATACTTCTTTTAATGTCTAGCTTTATTATATGTGCTCCCTCTGTTTCTTTTATAAGGCATGCACACACGTTTCAAGATTTGAACTTCGTGATTCTTTACTGGGGATTCTCTTAACAATAATTATACATGGATGGTGCCATTGCATTCATATATGAATTTAATTTTCTCCGATCAGATTTTAGTGTTTTTTTTTTTGGAAAAGGGAAATCCATTCATTCATTATAAGAAGAGTACATTATGAACATCTTATAGGAGAAAATAATGGCCAAAGTATAATGTTAGAGAGCACAATGAGCCCACGCCATACATTTTGAACAGAAGAAGCATTAGTAAGAGTATATTTGGTAGTTAGGGATATTGAAATCCCATTTGCCATATGTATCCGGGAGGTGTCTTGCACCCCAAGTCTTGTACTCTATTAATACTACCCAAAGAGCTCAATGCAATACATCCCACGCATTATACGCTATCACGAGTTTAGGGTTTTGATCCTGAGCCGAGGCTTCCACTGCCACTGTGACTGCGGAGGATGTTAGAGTATATTGGGGTATCTCTAGATATGGTACAACCGTACAAGGCACTCTGGGTCAAGGCACCGAGCCGACAAGACACTGCGAGTCCCAATTCTAAAACATTCCAATATACACTCCCATGGATTTATCAAATCAGAGTAGTGAGGTCTTAGTTTTTTTTTATCTTTTTCCGTCATAAAATCAAAAGCAAATAACAAACAGCACAATTTGTTGCATGCGACCTTTCCTTCTTCCTCGTTCCAGCAAGATGTCAAGTAACAAAAGTAGTGATTAGAGGTCCTTTTAGACCAGTCTAGCATCAGTCTGAATGGTTCACTAAATATGATTGGCTAGAGTATAGTGAAAAGGTGGATAAGTCTTTGATGAGGCTTCCAAATTTTAGAGTTTGACGGAGTTGGCTAAGCCATACCTGATGATTTCAATTCAACACAATAAAGGACCTTAGTCATGAGCTTAATATTTTAGCTTACCCCAACTTGCTTGGGACTGAAAGGCTATGTTGTTGTTGTTGTTGTTGTAGTCATGAGCTTAATATTTACATTGATAATGTGTGAGCTGATGAAAGATTTGCCAAGTTGAACACTATTTACAAGCTTGCTAGGCTGATGGTCTTCGTCTATCGGCTTCTCAAGATAGCGCTAGTTCTTCCTATCACCATGGCATTGGTAGAGAGCTGTTTTTCAGCAATGTGAAGACACTACTGTGAAATTGTATTGGCGATGAATTTATGAATGACTTTATCATATGCTTTGTGGAACAAGGGTTTCTAGCCACAATTCCAATTGATATTGTGATAGTTTGATTTCACAAGATGGAGGATCATAGCCGTAGAGGGAAACTATAGGAGGTTACTACTTACTACGATGTTGTTTGTTATTTTGTCGATTATTGTTATGCATAGTATTATACTATCAGAATGTATAAGTTAGTACTGGGAATTTGCACTAACCCTGGCGACAATTTATCCTAGCTGTACTTTCCTATCTCTTTCAACCTTTCTACACTGACTTCCTGGATGTCGCAGAAATATGGGATATTTAAGGTATTCCCACATTCAGTATCTTTATGATAAAATTATAGCCCTTGTATCACCCTACATGAAAATGCAACTATCTGACTCCACCTCTATCTCTCATATCCTGAAAATGGAACTATATGACTCCATCTCTCATATCCAGAAAATTTGTTGGATATCTGATTTTTTTTGCTTGGTTTGCAACCAATACCTCTTCGGTGGTTGGTCCTTCAGTATCTGACACATATGCATCCGTGCAAATAAAAAAAAAATCAGCTACCCTAGGAGGAACTAGGAAGAAATAGGCACTCAAATTCGGCTCGACGAGGACTTGAACTTGGGTGGTGTGGGCATACATCCACACCGACAACCAACTGAGCAAGGATCTGACACATATGCATCCCTACACAAGCTGACAACAGAACACAACGTTTTAGGTACAGTGGACATTAAACCTATCTTCTATTAGTTTTTTTAAGGCGAAATAGCCATATTCGTCCTTAAACTTTCATCCAAAGCTCAAATTTGTCCCTCAACTATTAAAAGGGCCGGTTTAGTCCTTGAATTTGCAATTTTGGTTCGATCTCGTCCTCTGTCGGACGTCGTCTGCCATAGTAGCTCACTCCGTTAACACACTTTGAGACGAGACAACACACTTGCAGATTTTGGCAAGTCTCTGGACATATCAGCATGTGCTGCAACCCGTGGAGCATGAGTAAGCATGGCCTGTATCTCCAAATCCAAAGTCATTGCCTCCTAGAGTGAAGAAAATGCGAGGGCGCCCACCCAAAAAATAGAAAGAAAGACCCTTCAGAACCAGTGAAATCAGGCACCAAGTCATGGAAAGTCGGTACTATAATTAGATTTCAAAAATCATTTGATTTCAAAAATCACTACATGATTATCCACAGGCCTACAACCACTTACAATGCAAAAGCACCAGTGGTATTGATAACCCTCTGCTCTGATCCGCTCCAAATCCGAATTTTATGGATATGGAGAAGTGTTTTTAATATCCATGCGGATACGGATAATCCGAACCCGATTATATGCGGATGCGGTGTAGGATATGGAATTGGCGAAATCCGACGGATATAGATTAACCGATAATTGAACGCGCGACGCTTATAATAGGATAATTGGAATATTTTAAGGAGCCCAAGCGGCAAGAATACAAGTCAGCCTGGCCCATGACACAAGCATTATTATATTGAAGTCCACAAACAAAGCTCGTCAACTATAGGTTGGTACATTGAAATTACAGGAGACGAAAGAATTATCATCTACCAAAGTGGAGGACTAGTACACGGCAAAGAGTGAAGGTAAAGTTTTGCCAAATTAAGAATATTTATTTTCTACACACTTGTTTTATACTCTTAAATTTAAACTGAGAACTTGTATTGATTTTGTGAGCTCTTAAATCAAAGTGGTGGATTGATGGTGATTATTTCGTGTGGTATTGCCGCTTTATGACTTTGGTTAATGAATTGTTTCTCGTCATAAAAAATAACACGTAAGCACATATTATCCGACTTAAAAAAGTCTGCTTCCGCTCCATCACCAGTCCAAATCCGTATCATTTCCAACATCTAAAAAATCCGTATTCGCATTCGAATCCGTATAATATCTTATCCGCTCCGAATCTGATAAAAAAAATGGATTAGGATATGGGGAAGCCATTATCGGCTCCGATCCGATCCATTTTCATCCCTACCATGCATAAGTTTACATATTTCTTTTCGCAACCTTTGTCAATCACTGTACATATCATCCCATTGTCCATCTGAATGCAAATACCGTCTTCAATCACCTTTTTTGGTCTCCCAATAGAACTGTGCTGACGGAGTGATCTTCCATGTGGAAGACCCCATCAGACAGAGGATGAAATCGGACTGAAATTGCAAATTCGAGGACTAAACCGACCATTTTGATAGTTGAAGGACGAATTTGAGCTTTGGATGAAAGTTTAAGGATGAATATGGCTATTTCGCCTTTTTTTTAATTGGAATTCAGAATTCTGACATTTCTCAACCGGTTGTTTCCGTAGATTAGGAATTTTCATGAGACTACTCCGTGATACGATCCCTCCTACGACAAACAATGTGAGCTCATATTCAGCATATGACTGAATTGTCTAGGAGCTCCACCGCAGCACCAGAGTAGTGCTAACTAAAGAGTCTGTCTATACGGTGCTCGAGTGTTCCAGTAAAAGGGCGGGCGTAATGTCAGGCGTACCAGGAGGTGGGTCCTCGAGTGCGGCGCCGATGCGGCTGGACGGAGACTCCTTCTGTGGCAGTGGGCCAGCCTCCCGGGGCCCGCCGTCCCCGTCGACGGCAGTGCAGCGGAGGCGCTGCCGGCGGCGGAGCTCGGGCTCGAGCGCCGCGGCAGCTAGCGATAATAGAGGCAGGTTGCGCTGGCGCAGGAGGGGCCGGCTCTGGCGGAAGAGGACGCCACCGGGGTGCAACTGCGGCGGCGGGTGCCAAAGCAGCGCACCTGCGCTTCCCATCCCCGTTCCCGTCTGCTCCTCGCCGTTCCTCTGGTGTGGTACTCGGAGAAAGAGGTACCCGGTGGCGGACAGACGATGTCACGATATTATCTTGCTCGGTAGTCGGAGCTGTCTTTCTTTCTTCTTATCTACAGTCAAAGAGAGCCGTACGGCTTTCTCGACGCCTAGCGTCGCCACGGTAATAAAACTAGCCAAATTTCTCATGCGTTCCTGCCGGACATCAGGATAAAAGATACGTACTCGCGTGGCTACGGTCATAAAACAGTCAAATTTCTCATGCGTTCCTTCGAGACTTCAGCATAAAAAATATTATTATGAATAATTATATTACTGATAGCATAGTACTCTTTTTATCCCAAAATAAATGTCATTCTCACCTTCCAAAAATCTATATCTATATTTATGATGCATAATAAATATCATTAAATTAATTATTAAAATATATTTTGATAATAAATTTTTTTTTGAGATATAAATGTTACTAATATTTTCTATAAATTTAATTAAAGTTAAAAAAAGTTTGATCCGCACCAAACTCAAAGCAACAATTATTCAGTTATTCGGGGCCAGAGGAGTACTTCCTCCTTTCAAGTGTCGCCTAAATTTTCATGCATATTAGTAATATTTAGTGTAAACACAAGCGTCATGTTTGGTTTGTTTAGATGTTCACATATCGATTAGCTTTAAAAAGTAAATGTTAATCGATGAAATTTCTATAGCAGTATTTAGTATTAAAATATGACTAGTTTTAATTGGGCTTTAAAATTCAAGAATAATGACTATTCTAATTTATGGCGTCGCTTCGTCATCGACACTTCTTGCACTTCTACGACCGTAGCATCGAGCCTTCGTTTGGTGTACTATTTGCTTGTGATGGGTGTTTGCTGCGAGCCTGCGAGTGCAGGAAAGACGAAAGATTCTGAGAGATCGCAGGCATAGGATGAAAAGCAGGTATAAAATAAAGGCAAACTAGTGGAACTCGCGCGCCCCTGCGTGCGCCGACAAGCGAATAAGTTTAGGTTTATACAGGGTAGGGTTGACACGTTGTATATGATCTGGTGCTGTACATAATTGTAGAGGCATAAGTCGTGCACACTTCAGGGGACAGCTTTTGCCTAGGGCATCAAGTTTGAATTGTAAGAAACACTTTTACAACTAACACAGTGGGTATGTGTCCATGATTGTAGATATATCAGCCAGCATTTCGGACACACTGCAAAATATTGAGGCAGACAAGGTGCGGACCAGCTTAATATGCTGTAAGAAAATGTTCATGGATCACTACACGACTATAAATTACCTCATGCAGAAAAATTACACTTGGAGCAATTTCACTGGACAACGAGAACTCAGCTATCATTAAATGTTCTCCTTGACCAAGGCACTGAAAAAAAGCAATTTAGAATTTATAATACAGGTAGTCAAAATGCCCAAAAAAATAGAGGCTTGTCCAATTGATAATTACCTTTGAAGAGATGGTCAACATCGATATGTTCAAGAAATTAGCAGCAGCCTCCTTTACATGGGCCGCATAAAATAAATTGTAAACAACAGAAGTCAGCTTCCTATCAGATAAAAGGTAGTGTTCCGTTGGTGGCGTAGCACAAACACTAAAAAATTATTGTTATCATAAGAACAGTGTACCATCATTGTAATATCTTGTGGAGGACATCCATTTAAGTATGCAGTTCAAAGTAACATGTAAGAAAATACACTTGCTATTCTTTTTTTCGCAAACAAACTTCATAGAAGGCAAACTTTATTAGGCTCATCTGATCTGATATATGCTAAAATCGATGTCGTCCACAAGATACAACTGGAAATGGCAAAATTGGTAGATTCATCTGGGAATCGCAAGAAAGTGGCGAGGAATGGATAGGAATGAATACATCATTGGCAATGGGGTGTGCTCAGGAGTACAAAAGCCAACAAATTATGTGAAGCAAAGACGTCATTGACAATAGACTTGTGCTCAGTAACAAATGCACAGAATGTAGCAAACAATGCAAAGAGAAGAACACAAGCAAAAGAGAATTGCTAAGTTACAGTGTCACTGTCATCACAAAACAAATGCAGGTAGTAAGAATCATGGAAGGGTGATATAACAGATCATCATTGCACAGTCCTATCGTCTCAGTACCCAAAAAGTTCATCACTGCACAACCCCAAAGCCTCAGTAGGTAAAAAAGAGGAATGAAACAATTAATCATCACCATACAATGGAGGATATCAGTTGTTTGCATGATCCACACGTTTAAAAACAAGAGTGGCAGCAACAAATGGCTTTTAGAGAGGGGGGGCAAATAACAGTGACGAGAGGGAGGTAAGGGAAGGGAAGGGGGAGAACGGGCGAGAGCGCACCTTCGCCGTATGCAACGGGACAGATACACTGGTGTGGGGCTCCTCCAACGACGAAGGCCAGGGGGGCAGCTGCACACACGTACCTGGCCCCGGCGCTTGCAAGGAGAGCACTTATCGTAGAGGAAACACAAGGAGAAGTGAGGATGGCATGGAGAAAAGCGCCTTGAGATACCAAAGGGCATGGAGTCCACAGCTATTGTAAGGGACAATGTGTTGAACAGCAGGACAAGGCGGCGAAGTGGAACAATTGGAAACCACCAGCTGCGGGGCAATCTGTGTCAAAGAGTCAGAGAATATAAGAACATACTTTAGATTTGAATCTGGATGTGTAACATATATCTAGGAGGAACATGTTTATATGTGCACACACAAACAAGACGAAGCGGGTTAGTACATAATCCATCTAAGAAGCACAAATGAGCATGCAGAAGAATGAACGGATAGCAACAAAGGCGTAAAATTGATGCGCGTTGGCTGCCCAACAAAAGCAAAAAGAGACCCATTGCTGCTGCAGAAATTTGTGACGAATAAAAAGTAGCACATACACCAGAGCTATAAGCTGAACCGGAACGTCCACAAGCCTATGGCGCTAGAATCTGTGAATATCGAAAACACACTTCCAAACTACACAGACAGGAGGAGGCATGAGAAACCATGGAACTATAATGAATTAAGCATATCAAATAAGGTGGACACGTCAGTCCAAATTCCGAAAGGCACAATCTGAAGCATACGCAGAAAAGATATTGGACTCTGATGTTTTAATCTTTCAGGCAAACCCAGAGGAAGCCTAAGAGGTAGCACTGAGTAGGAAAATACTCAATCTCCCTGTGTCGATCTAAATCGCATATCAAATGGTCCCATATGAATGGTCTGTTAATCTCTCGGCCGAACTTTGTTTAGTGTATTCCTAGGATTGCATCAAATTTGAGAGGAATCAATGAGCGATGTTTTGCTACATACACATCAAAGGAAAATCAACAGAAGCCATGAAATATTTGAGCAATAAAAGGAAACCAGCATATTACATGCCTAGAACAAGCCTTAAAATATTACTTGGATGACTTAGGAACATCTATAAAAAACATATAAGAATGTTCGTAAATAAGGAACTCACCATTTGTCAAAAGGTGAGAAAATACAAGCTCATTCCAAGCATCGGGGACTCCTGGAAGGCACCAGTGGCTGCAATCAAGTATGGTATTAGGATGACTCGAAAGGCCAATATAAGCATCACTTCTAAAGGCCCCCATGAAAGTAACATTTAGTATGGTCACAGGGACACTCATATTTGCTACAAAGGTGGGAAAATACAAGCTCATTCCAAGCATCTGGAACTCCTCGAAGGCAGCAGTGGCTGCAATCAAGTATGGTATTAGGATGACTCGAAAGGCCAATAAGAGCATCACTTGTAAATGCCCCCATGAAAGTCACATTTAGTATGGTCACAGGGACACTCATATTTGCCACAACCGCAGCAAGTATATACCCAAATTCTCTCCTGTCATTTCCATTGGCCTCAGTTGTAGGTTGTTCTGTTACTTCATACACCTTTTAATTCAAGCCATTGTAAATGTGAAGAAAAAAAAACACTAAGTATGTACTTTCTCAAAATGACCTGTGCACAGTGCTTATTTGTTATTTGAGTAGCCACATAATCATAACGTAATTTTGAGGATGCAGTTCTCTATATCTTCATTTTGAATTGTACCTACTCCTAAAATTCAATAGGGAAGGAAGCAAAACCTCATTTGTATGCTACAAAAACACACCTCCAATGAGACGGTTCATATGTGCGGAAGAATACTCGTGTTCGCCTTAGATCGATTCTCTCTTTCACCCATGAAGCCCAAGTTTCCAATGCCATTTTGAAGGCAACAGTAAGGGATGTTCCCAGTTTAAGCACACCTCCAGCCTCAAAATAGCAACCCCTGTTGCAAAGATCAATCTTGAAAATCAAACATATATGAAGTTGACATCAATGCAAATCGAGGAATTACAAAAACAAACATATATGAAGTTGACGTCAATGCAAATCAAGAAATTACGATGGGTTACACCTTATAATACCAATTCCATTGATAAGTACTCAGTAGGTACCCTACCCAAGCTAAGCATTGAAAAGACTTAAAAATGACAAGTTTATTACTCTGTTGCCAAACACTATACAAGGGGCATAAAACACGCACACAATGGAAGATGAATTTCAGCAGCAGTAATGTAACAGCGAAAATTGTTGGGCGGCAGAATTAAAGGTCTGATCAAGTTCAAGCAATCTGAAGCATGCACTGGGCCGGTGGTGACCTCCGAATCAATATGGGTCATTATCAACAAAAAGCAAGGCACACGAACCTGGATGAGGAGCGCGTCCGTGGCCGTCCGCTATGGTGCCGCCGCACTTGATCCGGCAAGGAGAGGACAGTTGCAGCCATAGGGGCACGCACGGCACAGGGAAAGAGAGAGAGAGAGAGAGGAGACGGGGGCGGGCTCGGCACTGAGCGCTGATGACCTAGGGTTTACTGTAGCCTGAGCGCACGCAGACCAGAGGAAGGAGGCGGCGCCAAGAAGGCAGCCACGGCGGCGGCCACCAGCGGGGCCCGCGCTGTGGCGTGGCGGAGGACAGCCACCGCCGGCAGCGGTGGCGTGCGGCGCCGTGCGGCAGGATGGCGGCCGCACCCGCGTCGCCTCGCTCTCGCACGCCGCATCGGGAGAGAGAGAGGGAGCTAGCAGAGAGGAGAGAGGGAGAGAGATGGGAGGGCACGCCGGGGGGAGGGGGAGGAGGAGGGCAGCCGCAGCTGCGCCGACCCGCTCGCTCCGTCTACCGTCGCGCTGGCCGCATCGATCGAGAGAGAGAGGGAGCGAGCGGGGAGGAGGAGGGCATCGGGGTTGGGAACCATCAGGAGGGGGATGGAGCTGGAAGGAGAAGCGGGAGCGGCGGTATATATTTGTGGAAAACGTATCAGTCGTAAACCAACTGACATGTGTAAATTTAGAAAGTACCGATAAGGATCAAGAAGCCGAAGAATCTCACGAGAAGTTTAAGAAGCCGCTCCTGGCGAAATCGGCTTCAAAAGATCTAGGCCATCGATTCGAAGATCTGACGGACCAAAAATTTTCAATCGACGTGGAGGGTGGTTCCTTGAGGAGCCCTACTTGCTATCTAGGGGAAAAATTTAAGTTCTCCTTTTACCTGTTTACTTTTAATGCCACCTTCATCACGTGAATGTGTCTAATTTGATATACTATAGGGATTTATTTACCGATAGGTTCATGCATATGGGTAGATTAGGTTAGCTTACTTTTCCCAATTATTAATTATTAAGATATATAGCCTCTGTTTGGCAGGACCTTCACCAAACACCTCTTCACAGAACGGCTCCTCCGGCGGAGCACTTTGGGAGCTCGAGCCGTTTTCTATAGCACGAGGAGGAGCCAAGAAACGTAGCTCCGCGCGGCTCCTCCTGCAGTCCTGCTGTCTAGAATGCAAAGACGTTGACGCTCTTCCTTGTCTCGCTCGGCACTGTACGGCGAGCGGCGGCGCGAGCAAGCGCCGTGTGGGAGCGGCGGCAGCGGCAGCATGGGAGAGAGCAAGCACGCCGTAGGAGAGCGGCGGCGCAGGCACTGGGCGCGAGCCTGCTGCCGGCAGCGGCGACACTGTAATCTTTTGTTTTTACGAGAAGATGCGAGCGGTTGGTTCCTTGGAAGGGAAGACCGGCGGTGGGATGGTGCAGGTCGTATGGGCCTAGGCCCAAAGGGGTGCCTTCCTCATTTCTTCATTAGAAATTATTTTAAATATGATTTACCTTTGCTTAAAAAATGATTTACCGAAATTATAACCAATATTATAATTAATTGATGCAAGATTTTGTACAGCTAAGTCAAATAATAAGTAGGGGCACTTTAGACATTTTTACCTTTCATCAATTCCAGAAGAACAAGTCATTTTGCCCAACGTTTTTTCAAAAGGGCTTCAGCTCCTTCAGAGAAGCCACTTCTGCAGAGGAGCCAGAGCCGGAGCTATTTTTTAAGGAGCCAGAGCCCTGCCAAATAGGCCCACTCGAATATTCTCTTATGGGGACATACACCTAGGAAGCTCGTTTTGTTATCGTCCGCAACAAAAATGTTCAAAATTGCTCCATGTTCATCCGATACAACAGTATATACAACATGATCAATGTTACATTGCGTTATGGGTGTAGCTAGGACAATGAGACCTGGGACAAAAAACAAAAACCTTGTCCTACTGCCTTAAATGAGTAAACTAGTCAACATGTGTTTCTGTATTTTTTCGTGTTAGTATACCGAATTCTGAGTAATCCCGACGGTCTTCAGGTTCCCAATGGTGGCTAACCTGCCAGTCTCAAGATTCTGTTCATCACAAATCTGCAGAAACTGAAGCCACATCAGTAACGGGAACCACATTGCTAGTTGCAACTTACAAGTTGCAACTGATGATAAAGAGGCCATGAGGCATAAAGAGATGTGAATAAAATGAATGCAACCAACTTGGTATATACTTCTTTATGTTTCAACAAAAAAATGCACTATTTTTAAGGCAGTTCTCATATTTTTTTATATGTAGTTACATACTTACAAGAAATGCTCAATCACTTATCCGTTTTTCAGTTTTTTATACAATAAGGTAAGCTTATTTACTCAGTGTCAAAGAAAGGAATACGTCCCTGTCAAAGATAAATGACAGTCATATCGATGTAAGTATATTATGTGCCGGAAAGACAGAAAGAGGAATCAAAGGGACCCACATCAAAATGTATTTTGATGCCAGAGGACTTGCTTATGCAAGAGACATGGACAGGTCAAGCCGTAATTATGATCTAGATGAAAAGCAGTACTGACTTGTATTCTGAAAGGAAGCTATTGTAATAGTGAAGGGGTCAAATAAATGGATGACCCTGGTTTGTGTTTGATCATGCAAAGTAATCGTAAAGTTCATGAATAGAACACAGCGCAAAGGGCTTTTAAATTGTAAAGCACCTCTATCCACTAATGTTACTGACTTACTGGACAAACATTCTCTGGGACCACCGCTCATGCTTCAGTTATGACATCAGCTGAAACAACAGACAGTTTATTAAATTAGGACTGCTGGATAGAGAACAGTACACAAAAAATAAAGCATATGACAATAGGTTGTAAATCAATTGCATGCCCATCTTTCAAATCAGAATTTGCCATGGATAACCATAGGTTAAAGAATCACTCCCTCTGATTTCAAATGTAGGTCACTGTAGGATTCAGGCCAGTCAAACTAATTCAACTTGGCCCATAAATACATTCAAAATTATATGCTCCTGTTCCAGCTGTTGGGCTAATCGTTGTACTTCAATTTCTTTCTGAGGTTTATGTCGCCTATCGGTTTCTTCATTGTTACCATATAGACATCTAAGCACCTGTGTGCCCGTGCATGGTAAATAGGGGATTACAATGCACGGTTGATGTCACTACATTCACGACCGAAAGAATTTCATAATCATAATTTCTTTATATAAAAGGGATATTATTAATTCGTATTCGCAAGAGAGTTACAAGAGAGTTTGTTAATCACAACTGTCTTACAATAAGCCTTACAAAAGGGATATCATAATCACAACTTACAATAAGCCTTACAAGAGAGTTTGTTATACAAAAGGGATATTATTAATTCGTATTCGCAAGCACTGTCTTATGATTAGGAGTTTGTTGCCAGAAACATTATCGCATAAGAGAAATTATAGATTATAGATAAAAACAACTTTGGAGATCGCATTGAGTCAAACAATGCCTTATACTTTGATGAAACGGAAGGAGTATAAAAATATATAATGTAAACCAAAACAGAGCATGCTCCTTTCCTACTGTTTTGTGTCTGATGAAACTAATCCTGAACTACAGGCCTAGCTGTGAAAGGAATTGTGACTGCTCAATGATTTGGTATAGCGAAATAGCAGTTATTTATCTGCTTCTGTGCACTGTTTCTACTTTCTACCAACATAAATGGAATGAAAACTCGTGCACCCTAGCAAGTGACCAAACAGTAACAGAAATGTGACCCAGAAAGTATTTTGTTTTTGCAAATTCCTAGTATATGACTGATCTCAACCGGATCAGTACTAATGGACATCAGATGCATAGTTTTCCCTTTACCTTAAGACACAGGCAACTAGGCACAGAAATTCAACAGTAAAATAAGATTACATTTGCATACGTCAATTTACATACCATATTGAGGATTTTTGCAATCCTGTTGTGCTTCCATCTGACAGTCCTGCTCTAGCCGTGGACGATCATAACCATAATCTTCAACTGTTAGAGGAGGGTCCACTTGAAAGTTCTGCTCTGGCTGTTGAAGAATGTACTCTAGCTCGTCACCAAATATATCCATGTCATCCCATTCACATAGAGCAGAGGTGTCAGTAAAATCATTCCCAGTTGAATCAAGGGTATCAACATTGTTTGAAGTCATTTCTACATCCATGGGCATCTCAAGTGCAGGGCTTGAAACTGGTTGTGCAGGGCTCGAAACTGGTTGTGCATGGGTTGAATAAATAACTTCATTGGCTGGTATTGGTTGATTGGAAGTTTCAGGAACAGGAGGACGATATTGAATAATTTGCGCGCCTCCACCAGAAGTCTCCTGATCATCTACAGGACCATGTTCCAGAGCTTGGAACCTTCTTTTCCTGTTACCATCATCATTCCACCAGTTACTCCTGCGCTGCTGCTGCACGAGCTGGTTGAGGAAATCTGGATTCTGGACAACTATTGCCAAAAGTGCCATCATCTGCTGCTGGTTCTGTTCCATCACACGGAGGCGTTGAATTAAATTCTGCACTTCAAGGCTGGATGATTGCTGGTACTGCCTCAGATCTACAAGCTGCTGCATTAGAAGGGCCTTGTCCCTCTTAAGTGTCTCAACCTCCTTTTCAAGGCCACCATATTTTCCTATCTCAATATTCTCAGTGCCAGGTGCAGTTTTGACAGGCACCGACTGCAGATCACTAGGTACATCCTGAGAGGATTTCTTCTTTCTCTTGATGGTCTTCAGAAGATGTTTTTGGCCCTTAATAAAACCTTCATTCGCCCATTCCCATCTATCTGGATCAACTTTATGAAATCCCTGATAATGAAAAAGAACACTAGTGAATTCGTGAAACAACAGAAGTTAAGTTTCAACATGAACTTACACCATAGACCATGCGGACAAAATAATAGTTAGTTTGACGCAGATTATTTTCAACATAATATAATAGTTAAGCAATGGTTCTATTTCTATATACACAATTACAGTCTAGTTACATGCTTCATGCACGAGTTTTAGTAAATGCCTGAAGAGGAAAAAAGCATGGAACTAATACCATAGGTCACTATTTCAGTACAAGCATAAAGTTTCATGCAAACAATTAGCAGTAGCTTCATCCAATAGAGCATCAGGCTAGGATGCTAGTAAAGTAGCAGGGCAATAGAATCCTTTGTATTGTCGTGAAGTTCACTAGGTTACAGAATCCATCGATCTTCTGATAAGGTGCGGAAAAATTTGAACTGGTTGCAGAAGAACAAAAAAAAAGGGATCCCTGATGGCAGGTCCTGTATGCATTAAGGTCTGTATCGAGCAATTGGCCAAAAGAGACCTCCAGAAGCTTGCAACCGAATTCAACTATTCTGTTTTGCTTTCGGAAGTACAGAGCAGAAGTAACTAAAAATTGGCGCATCCAGCTATTCAGTGATAAAAAGGGTAGACCCAGTGCCGGAGGCTCCCACATGAGTGGGGTCTGGGGAAGGGAAAAACCGAGGCAAGCCTTCCCCCCGCAAAATCTGCGGAGAGGCTGCTTCGAACCCGCGACCTGGTGATTCAGTGAGACAGCTCTCACCACTGCACCAGCCTGCCCTCCAGCTATTCAGTGATAGCTAACCTCAATACAACTATACAAGAAGCATCAAACAGCAAAATGACAGAATATATCAAATGACATCACGGGAAGTTGCTGAAGCAACAACAAATCCAAGGAGACTGTTTCATCAGAAGTCATTGCAAGTTCTGTGGTCGCAAAGTTCACTAGGTGACAGAACCCAATGAGCTTTTGATAAGGCGCACAAAATTTCAAACTGGTTGTACAAGAACAATAAAGGATCCCCGATGGTATGTGTTATGCATTAAGGTCTGTATTGAGCAATTTACTGAAAGAGATCTCGTGAACAATCTATACAAGTCCATCACCAAAAACTTCCAACCAAATTCAACATTCAGTTTTGTTTTCGGAGAACCAGCTATTTGGTTATATAAAATCTCAAATGACATCAAGAGAAGTTGCTGAAGTGCCGACAAATCGAAGGAGACCAGCATTCCTTATCCAAAAAAAGGAGACTAGCATTCCTTATCCAAAAAAAAGAGCTAGCCATATTACCGAATCTGCTGCAAACCAACAATCGCGTCTAATCAGCGCAAAACCACATCGATTTCGCGCACGGGGAACTAACATGTAGGCATATATAGTGTTAGGGATCAGGGTAATTCTCACGTAGGTGTTGAGCTGGCGTATGAAGCTGGTGAAGTGGTTGTGCTTGAAGTGCCGCGGCAGCAGGTCGCGCTCGAAAACGTGCGAGTCCCAGATCACGAAGCTGCCGCCGGTGGCGCTCCAGGAGATGACCGCGTCGGTGGCCGGGTCGGAGACCATGTCGTAGACCTTGGTCAGGAAGGGCGCCACGTCCGGAGGCTTCGGCACCACCGCCACGGGCGCCGACTCCGGCGCCGCCGTCACCGGCGTGGCCTTGCCCGCCGTCTGGGCGCCGACCTCGCCGCCGGCTGGGGAGGCGGGATGCTGCGGCGACCGCTTCTTGGAGCCCATCGCGACGGACGATGCGAAAACCCTAGAGGATTTTTGGTTGGAGAGGCCTTCGAGTCGAGATTGAGGCGGCTGCGCCGGAGAGGCTTCGAGATTGAGGCGACGACGGGACGAGAAGTCGAGAAGGGGCAGGACGGGAACGGGAAGGGGCGAGACGGCGAGGGGATTTTGGCTGGGCTGCTTCGTTCAATTTCCTTTGATTTGACGATGATCTGTACGGTTCTGTGATAAGAAAGGAAAATGTGGGAGAGGATATTTATTTATTTGGGTTAGATCACGGAAGGCGCGTGGTCGGGCAATACTGTAGCTATTGTATACGAGTATGTGTTTCTTTGCCGACACGATGACAAGTGGGGACGAAATTTGGTGGGTCCTAGGTACCAGTGATAGTGCTTGTGTACGCCGATTTCTCGCTAAGGTAATTAGGCGCGTGTTTTCCCCGTATTTGGTGGGGTCGGTCTTCGTGTGGGACCGAAGAGTCAGGGAGGTTGCTGTGTCGCGCTCGAGGGTGCGGCACGATTCTGTGCTTCGCTCTTTGTCCCATGACACGTGGGGCAAAGTCGATATGGGTCCCACGAGGCAAGTTGAGAAGCCGTGGGCCTACCGGTCGTGCAGGAAGGTGCATGGTAGGGAGCAGAAGGGCCACAGCCGTTGGGTCACTGACTCGTGGCCCATAGGAGCATAATTCCTCCTGTGCTTCAACCCGGGACAACTGGACAACAGGACAAGGCACATACCGTCGTTGCCGACGTCATCGTTAGTGCGGAAGTCCACTGGACCGAGCGACGCGCTTTCTCGTCTTCTTCGACTCTTCGTCCTGAAGCCGGCTGGCTGCTGCCATACCAACCGCCAAGGTGACGGTCACTACCGACTACCGAATCAATTCAAACCTCGCTTTCTCACGAGCCACGAGCGAGCTGCCCAATTTCAACTTTTCGACTCCGTTTTTTTACCGGACAAGTCGATGACGCCATGACGGTCTGGCACTGGCAGTCACCGCTGAGAGCTTGTCCGAAGACTGGAAAAGGTGTGCCAAGTTTCTTTGCTAGTGCTGTCCAGTTTCCATTGCGGCGCCTCATTTTCCCCTGAAACTCCAGGTACTGCAATGCAATCACGGTAGACGGTACTTAACGCATGTTTCCATGGGTTGGAACTAAAAGCTAGTCTTATTAACTCTTGCTTTATATAGACTAATGAATTAATTATTACTAGTCTAAAGACTAGCGAACTCCTCCCTCCATTTCAAATTATAAAATGTTTTGGTTTTCTAAATATGTTGTTTTTACTGTATCTAAACATAGTATATATCTAAGTGCATAGCAAAAGCTATGTATATAGAAAAACCAAAGCATCTTATAATTTGGAATGGAGAAAGTAACAATTAATCTACATGTTTAAATTTTTGTAAGTACTAAAAAATAGTCAATTAACATGACCTTACTCACTACTCGCTCCAGGTAAATGAATGACCTCCGCTTTTAGAGAAAAACCTAGACTGCTTGGCTTGTACATCAAGCGGTGGCTGCCGATATCAATGCTTCCTCCGCCGATATCAATGCTTCCTCCCTCATCATGAACTCACTTGACGAACAGGGAAATGTCGAGACGCAGCACGGCGGCCACCAACCCACAGAAGGTACAATTCTAACAGATGCAGGAATAACAGGTGAAGCACTAAGCCACGACGACGACGTCGACCACACCAGGAGAATACTCGAACTACCAGGCCCACCTTTATATTGAGCCATGCTGCCGACGTTACTGCCTGGCACTAGGTGCTACACAGATGCCTCAACGACATTGGATCGTCCCAATCAGGAACCCTCGTCATCGACCCCAACAACAACGAACAATCTACATCAAGGCTTTCATGACCAACTCGACATCAGTCCTCATGGCAGAAGCTACTGCCATGGCTCTGGCCGCGCTGGTGACCTCAGCATTGAGCATACAGAACACGATCTTCCTAACAAACAATCAGCTGCTTGTGTCCTTCATCAATGGGACCGACTTCTCCTCCCCTCCTATTTGGGACATCAAGCCATTCACTCAGAGCTTCATCACCAACAACAACAACAATTCCAGAGTGCTCAAGGTAGCTAGAAATTAAAATGTTACTGCACACACCCTAGCTACTCAAGATTTTCAATGTGCTTTGAACCCATCCTCGACAAGCATATCTTGTACCAACACAGTTCATGTAACCAGCTGCCCACTTAGAGTGGCACTGAACTCTATACCCTAGGAGTCCTCCTCACTCATTGCAGCATCTTGCTGCTAATATATTTATCAGTTATCAAAAAAAATACACGATGCTCACTCCTCAAGGTCAACCTAGACAACAGCATTGCTCTGCAGCCCAGCACGCATTGTTTCTTTCCGGTAATGATATATGGCGGGTGTCTGACCCATCACTTCACCTCCGGACGTGGCTCGCTCTCCTCCACTCGCTCGCAGCTTATCCTTATCCGCTTGCCCCACGAGACGCTTGCAGCCGCTCCCTCCCGAGCCGCTCGCGACGCCGCCCCGCTCGAGCCGTGCGCCCCCACTCGCAGTAGCAACGAGCTGCTGAAAGCCCTAGTTTAGTTTTGGATAATTGATGAAACCTAGTTGGACTAATCTTTGCATCTAAGTATGTGATTAGATAAGATAGTCCAATCCAAGTGGAGGAGCTAGGTGGCACTCATGGATGAAGATGGCCACATGAAATGAAGTCTATGTTGGTGGTGTGGACATGTGATGATGATCGAGCTCCGGGACTTGGAAAAGAAGAAAGAGAAAAAAAATGGACTCAAGACAAAGGTGATATCCATAGGGCCATTTTGTTTTCGATGATTGAGATACTATAAAGAGTGTGGTCACATTTAGGATAGATGGTCGTACTATCAAGAGGGGAGCTCTTATCGGACAACTCGATCATCTAGTGCCACTAGATGCTGGAAAACATGCATATGCATTTTAGACCTAGTGCACAATCGGTGAGAAGTGTTTAACCTTTGAAAAATGATTGTGAAAATGTTAACACACTTACACGTGATGGTGAAACACTTGGAGTGTTAGCACATTTGCAAAGGTGGTGAGAAAGGTGAAGAAACAGAGGCGAAACTCGGCTTGGGGTGCTGCCACTAGAGCACCGCCACCCCTTGTCCGGAGCACCGCCATCCCTGTGGTGGTGACCGGCTGGGAGGCCGAGAGCAGCGGGTTGCCCTAGGGGCACTGCCACCCTATCCGGTGGCACCACCACCGCTAGGGCAGTGCCCACCTGGGCCTGGCCGAGAGCAGTAGAGAAGGGCGTGGCACCGGTGCGTCCGGTGTGCATCGCCTGGTCACCGCCACTAGTGAGGCGGTGCCACCGCCGCTTTTCACCCAAGAGCGAGGGAAACTGAGCTGGTCACCGCCACGGGCACCGTCGCATTGATGGCGGTGCACCGCCATAAAAATCCAAAGAAGGGGGTATTCGGGCATATGGCTGGGTGGTCACCGCCACCCTAGGGACGGTGCCCCAATGGCTAGTTAAGTGACCGTTGGGAGGGGCATCGCCATATCCGGTGCCAGGCACCACCATGTCCGGTGCCCTCATAGAAAACTGCTCCAAAGGGGTAATAGCTCTATTTGCTTGTGGGCTTATAAATAGAGCTAGTGGTTGGCCTTGACCACTCTCTTGGCACTTCTAACAGCTGCATACACCCTTTGAGAGCTGAGCACACCACTCCACTCACTTGCACACTTGATTTCATCATCTTGAGTGAGATTGGAGAGCCTCTAGTGCATTGCTTAGTGTTCAAGCATCTTGTGGCACTAGTTGGGCGTTTTGGGTTGGTGGGGTTTCTTATTACTCTTGGTGTTTGCCGACACCTAGACGGCCTGATGATTGGTGGATCATCGAGCGAAGGAAGGTGATTGTCTCTGGCTTCGATCATTGTGATTGTGAGAGGTTCTTGTGCCTTCCCCGGTAGAGCGCCAAAGGCAACTCTAGTGGATTGCATGTGGCTTATGGATCCTCATCTTGTGTTGGTTGTGCGGCATCCGGTTGCGGGTTAGGTGTGTGATGCCTATTAGCGCGTAAACCTCCAAGTGAGTGAATCGCCACAACGGGGACTAGCTTGCCGGCAAGCAAGTGGACTTTGGAGGAAAAATTATTGTGTCTTAATTGTCTCCTCGGTATTCATTGATCGATCACTTGTCACGGCGGTATATCACTTCTATCGTTCTCCCTCATTACTTTGTATTCACCTTGTGTAGTGCTTGTAGCTTGAGCCACTCTTTAGTTGTAGTTATCTAGCTAGCTTTGCTCCCCCAAGCGACATAGCTCTTGTTTGACATATTAGAGATCATAGAAATTAGAATTGGGTAGCTGGCTCGCAACCCCAAGTGTAGTGCTAGCGTAAAATTTGCTTCGCCATCTTATTGACTAATCACTTACTTTAGTGTTGTTATAGAAATTTTTAATAGGCTATTCACCCTCCGTCTAGCCATTAGGACCTTTCAGCTGCTTGTCGGTGCCGCCCCCGCCTAGGCCGCTCGTCGGCGCACCCCTCCCGAGCTGCTCGCGCGGCGCCGCCCCCGCCCGAACCGCTCCTTTCCTGACCCCGGCGTCTCCTTCCCGCACCCTGGCATCCCTCCGCCCCCACCCCGGCGGCGCCCCTCCCCCACACCGGCGTCCTCCCCCATAAGGAGCTCCGGACGTCTGCAGATCCGGCGGCCATGGCGCTCCCCATGCCAGGCTCTGTTCTCTTCCCCCCATGTTGCAGTTGTGTCTTTCAATTGTTTCAGAAGCTTTAGATGTATGTTGCAGTAAAATCATATGGTTCATTGCTAAAGTAGATCTGGCATGTTGCACTTTTGTTGCTGTGTTGCAAGTGTTTCAAAGGATTGTTGTAAGTACTTTGTTCAAAATGTTTCACCTGTTTTTACACAATGTTGCAATCCTTTCTGATCTAAATGTTTTCATATGGTTCACTCAATTGTTGCAATAATACTTTCCAAATTGTTTCAGTTGCAGC